TTGAGTGAACATTCTATTAAAATCGTAATTTTTTTGAAAATGAATTTCGCCCTGTACAAGCTCAAGAACCCTTCGAGATAGAGAGTTTCAGAGTAAGTGGCACAAATTATGAAGATACGTGGGGAAGATAACGCTTAACCCTAGATTTGAACAAGATTGTAGAGATCGAGAAATCATCCTCTTGAGAGTCGATCCCACAAGTTAGAGGTTCGTGGGAAGCGGAAGTGAAACTTACATCTCATCAATGGAATACGAAGAGAGATTTGCTACAATGTGCGTGATATGGCGGGTCATAGCCAGGTAGGTCAGCACTAGTTGAACTAAGAAATATAGTTCACCTTAATTTTTATCCATGGAAATGGCGATAGAGCATTGAGAGATTTGTAACCTTGCGTCACTTGGATAGGCGTTGTCGGGTGGGAGACACTTTTGGATCCAGTTGAGGCAGGAAAGAGAAAACTGGACAAAATTATGTTCGGCACGATCTAGCACTTGTAAAGGTAGAGGATAAGTAGGAAGAGTCTGGTAATTTTTTAAAGCATTTCACCCCAAGCAAGGCGGGAATGTCACTACTATGCAGAGATTTAAAGAGAATGTAAGTGATAGAAAATACTGGGTATAGAGAGGATTGAGGGAAAGAATAAGAGACGAACTGGGTTCACAACAACGGAAGATGACGATTGACGACGCACTTAATTTTTGAAGATTGTAGTTATGAAAAGATGTAAGTGGAAGGAAGTTCTACAGGTGGGAATTGCGAGAAAAGAAACTCTTGGAGTAGAAGTGGCAGTTATATTTGACCATTTCAACAGTAAAAGGGTGTTACTAGTAGCAAGCTTAATTTCATGTAGTCTGGACACCAGGAGAAACAAAATACTGCTTCCAGGAAAATATTGGTAGAAAAGACAGAGGGGAGCCACGTCACGTCGGTGAGAAAGTGACTGAAGTCGAGATGACAAGTCAGAACCGATTACATTGCAGATCCTTCTTTGGATTTTGTCACGAACCTCAAGATGGACAGCTGGGGTACCAGATATAGCAACAATATTGAACGCACGGACGAATGGTAGATTTGTAAATGTGTAAAATAAACTCTGACAAGAAAAACCAACTGGCATGCCACAATGAACCACATTTCCTTGCAGTAGATGTAACTATCGAGTCAATGTAGTTGCTCCACTTTAAGTCAGTTAAAAACGTGAGGCCAAGAGAGCGTAATGAGACGCACCCCTGGTGTCGTGCATCTGCCATGCTGATGGTGAGCAAGGAAATGTCTCTATGGTGGTTAAATGAGAGCAATTTAGTTTTGTAGGCAGTAAAAATTACAAACCATTTTCTGCCCCAGTTAACCACTGTTTGGAGATCCTATTCAAGAGAAGCAGACAGATTAACATTGTCAGCTCTGATGGATTTGCTATTGAGACAGGAGTAAATGGTATATATCATCTGCATAAATGCCTACTTGGAAACTGATGACATCAAGGATATCATTAATGAAAATCAAATACAGTGTAGGACCCAGGATAGAACCTGGAGGGCATCCGCGTCCGTCTCAAAGGATGTAGAAGCGATCCCTTTCAGAAAGGACTCACGATTTGGTAGCAGTGACTGGATTCAAACAATCGTCCTATAATACAGTAGCCCTGAAGCTTACGTAGAAGACCAGCATGCCAAACCTTGTCAAACGCATTTGAGGTATCTAGGATCACAACCCGAGATTCGCCTATATTATCAAGAGCTTGATGTACATATTCAGTGATGGCTGTAATCGCATCAGCAGTAGACCGGGCAAAACTTAATCCATATTGTCTGTCAAAGGGTAGGTCGTGAGAGGTTACAGCACTGATTAAAGCCTCGAATACTTTGCCGAAAAGCGGTAGGAGACTAATATGGCGATAGTTATAGGGGTCAGAAAGTCATCCAGAGTTCTTAAAAAGAAGGACTACAAAGGAGGACTTCCAACAAGTTGGAAAGCAGGAACCAGCGGGGCAATAGTGGCTGAGTTTAGAGAGTTCTGAAGCCAGCTCGGGAGAATATTTCTGTTGGACGACGGCTAGTATCCAGTCACCTTCACTTATTTTATTGGAGACTAATTTAGAAATGATGTCTGAGACCAGTGACGGGGCTCTGCGCATATCACTCAGTAGAACATCTGTCCTACTGGGGAAATCATGTGTGGAAACTCCAAATGAGTCGAGTGTTGAGTTGGAACCTTATTTGCTGCAGATGCCAGGACTTCGAATTGATTGAATATAGGTGGGATTGAGGATTTGCTGTTCTTCAGCACACTCTTGCAGAGCCGCCAATAATCTCTAGAACTAAACTGGCAAGATGCTATACGTTGTTTCATTTTATCAGTAAACAGTAACTTCGCGCAGAGACATTATGAGCAGAGATTGCAACTGGCCTGTCGCTCTGATACAGCCGGAAGAAGTGACCCAAGTGAGCTGTCGCGGCCGAGCATGCAGATAAGAACAAAGGAGATGAATGAGGTTTAACTTGGTATTTCCTTTCTGGAATGAAAGCATTTACGTCGACTTTCACACAGTCCGATCGGATATTCACACTCAACAGACAGATTAATCCATCAATCGTAGAAGAAAGTGTGTTAAATTAATGTTTAACCAATGTATTGATTGATTGATTTTTTTTATGGCTTATCAGCCAGTTGCACGTAATTTAGAGCCAAAAAGTTTCCTGATCCTGATCAATGTTATTTATTCTGGAACAAATATGGTTGACATATGCGTTGACAAATAAAATGGTCTGCGGGGTATGCTCATTAACAATTAACCTAAATTGTCACAGGAAATTATTTTTAGACATTATCCGTATTTTTACGAGTTAAACTCTATGAATGTTCATAACCTCTTGCTGAGTAGTATCCACATCTAAAGACGGACAAAGCATTAATTAAAAAAAAAAAGAATTAAATATCTGACATTTGTCCGATGTAATCCTTAAAGACAAAAAATATCACGACAGAAATATTATAGCAGAAACATTACGAGCAGAGACAAAGAGACTGATTGCAACAGACTTGTCACTCTGTTATCGCTGGATGAAGTGATTCCTGTGGGCTATAGCAGCTGCGCATGCAGGCGAGAGCCAAGGAGATGAATGAGGTTTAACTTGGTATTTCCTTTCTGGAATGAAAGCATTGCCGTCGGCTTTCAAACAGTAGGAGACTTCCGACACGCATTTTTGTACAGGATGATTATAAAGTTCATTCCAGGGGACGTCACGAAGGAAATCCTGTAACGGGTCGCAATCAGTTCGTTAATAACAGAAAGATATTCTGTTGGTAAGAGGTTCGTGTCTGGTGGGAGAGGGGAAAGTGATTACAAACACTACCGCATGATCATAGTTGCCAAGTGAGAAGATATGCGTAGTACGACAAGGGTCAGCGGTAGAGGTTAAAAAGTGATCGAGAAGAGAAGCGTTTCAGTCAGGGTTACTGGGTAAACAGGTGGTGAAGTTAACCACTTGTGTGAGAGATTGAGTAATTGAGCAGTTAAGGGTTTCGATGCCACCGAGTTCGGTAACAGAGTGTTTAAGCCATATGGTATGGTGGGAATTAAATTCAGTGCACACGAATATGCTTGCAAGCAGATGTAGGGAGATGGCCATTTCTATATTATCGGAAATGCTATCGAGTATACAACAATCTTCCGAGGAAAGAGAACGGTAGAAGAAGAAGAAGAAGAAGAAGAAGAAGAAGAAGAAGAAGAAGAAGAAGAGATAGCTGATTGAGTTTAACAGAGAGATACGGGGAGACATATGCAGATGGTCTGAGGATTCAAGTCAGAGCTTCCGAACCAGCGGGAGATTTTTCGTGGACATAAACTCCCAGGCCATGTATGTGGACTTTAGAGTACTTTTAAGGTGAGGAAGGTGCCCAGGAATCGAGAAATCAGAGGAGGATATTGAAGAGTTAAGGTTAGTTTCGTAGAGATCTAGATTATCCAGAGCATTTTCGAAAAGGAACGATTACACGCTGAAGAAGTTGATACAAATACCACAAATGTTGGAAAAAGAATGGTTAAGGAGTCTACCTGTTTTTGTTGAGTTTTTTTTAGTTCTATAGCTTTGCTTGTTTATAGTCATGGTGTGATATATTGGTAAGAAAATGTCTAGGGCAGTAGCAGTCGGTAATCTAATATAACATATGCAAGAAAGGAACTGCCTCAGTCTGCAACATAGTATGTTCTCGGGGCACACTTTCATGCATGATATGGCACTTCAAGAACCCCGATATTATGCAACTTTTGACCAGATCAGCCTCTCAAGTCGCTGCGCATGAGTTCGGTTGCCTAACTACCTGTCAGGAACGATAGCCATAAAAAATGCCAACCCAGTAGCCTTAGTATGAAGAGACGTTGACACAAATGGCACAGATCACAAGTGATTCACGACAGGACTACAACTAAGGCCAGATTTAAGGAAAAGGGTCCGAGGGCCCCTTCTTATAAAGGGAACAAGGGATGATCTTCTACTCCTGTCCAAGAACAAATCAATCAACATCGGACCTGGCATCCAGATAAATTATTATCTCAGTTTCTTCACTATATTTGTTATCTATCTATCTATCTTTCTATTTATATATCTCAGTTTTTATATATCTATGTCTTTACATATGTCTTTCTATGTATGTATCTATCTTAGCCTTTACATATCTACCTATCTCAGTCTTTACATATCTATCTATCTATCTATCTATCTATCTATATATATATATATATATATATATATATATATATAAAGAAATATAGTCTTAAGGTGCGCTATATTTATGGGATAAAGTGCTCAATATCAGAGATAGAGCGTGTGTAAATATAAAAAGTGAACATAAAGTCAACACTTAGAGTCGACAGTCTGACGATTGCTATATGCAATCGTCAGGCCTGACGATTGCTATGTTGACATCTATGTTCACTTTTTATATTTATATTTATATATATATATATATATATATATATATATATATATTTTACTTATCTATGTCTTTACTTATCTATCTATCTATCTATCTATCTCAGTCATTACATATCTATGTCTTTACATATGTCTTTCTATGAATGTATGTATGTATCTATCATAGTCTTTACATATCTACCTACCTCAGTCTTTACATATCTATCTATCTATCTATCTATCCCAGTTTCTTTACATCTCTTATCTATCATTTAATATCTATATATCCCATTTGTTTCATATCTATCACATCATATCTTCACATCAGTTATCTATCTATCTATCTATCTATCTATCTATCTGTCTATGTTAGTTACTTTACATCTCTTATCTATCATTTCATATCTATCAAACTACCCCAGTTTCTTCACATCAATTATCAATCTATCTGTTCTCATCTATATCATTTTCTTCATATCTATCATTGAGCCATCTGTTGGGATCTATATACATCATTTTCTTCATTATCTATCTATCTATCTATTGTCACGTTGCGAGGAAACAAACGAAAATAATCAATGTTAAAAACAGTTGAAAATTGATATTTATTTGATTTATTTAGGTAAATCTAAAACTTATATTCAGAAAAAGAAAATCAGGTCTAATGTGATTTTGATTAAAATGTTGGTATATATTAAATCTACATAAACAGGAGAACAGAATTTAAAATAACACATATAAGCCTGAATGAAAAGACATGAATCTTTCTGATATTGGTTGAATGAGGACAAAACAAAAAGCGATAGATTAATGTAGAAGCTAATGATAACATGTTTAGCGGTGAATGTTTCTTCCGTGAATTCAGAGAATGAAGCGTCCTCACTGTAGTGTTGGTTCTTCGAACACTTTCAAAGTATCTATTTTAAGAGGGAAAAGTTTCCTACAACCTGTATGTTCTATAATTCGCCAATAAAATAGCGTAGCATTATGAAAAAAGCTGCCAAACCTTATAAAAACAAAGTTTTATTGTGAAAAATGTTATATTATTAAGAAGAGGAAAGAGCCAAGTGTTTTAAATTATTAAATTTTTTATTCCTTTCTAGCACTTGTTGTGAGGCCGTAACATACATACAACATGGACTCTTCCAGGACTATATAAAGTATGCGATATAACGCGAGAGAGAGAGAGAGAAAGAGGGAATTCTAATACCGTAGTATCAGCCGCGTGCGACTACCAATATTGGACACTAGCACATAGTAAGCTCCGCTTACATTTACACTATCTTTGTAACCTTTTGTTTAATATATCTTTCTTACCTCTAATCCGTCTTTTCCTTCCGTGGTCCCAACTTTGGGTCTACATCACACTTATTTGAAATTTTGGTTCAAAATATAGATTTTTAAGAAATATTTAGCATTTTTTTTTTTTCGCTTTTTTTCAGTTGAAAATCACATTAATTTGGAAATTCTTGCAAGAATCAAATGATTGTCGGACTTTAATGATTTTTTAAGAAACTAATTTAAAAATGAATGAAATCATTTTTGAATTTTTTGTTTTTTAGAAAGTCAAGGTAAAAATAGTTTTTACATCTGTTACACCCCTCTTGCTTAAGTTTACACCCCTCTTGCTTAAGTTTACACCCCTCTTGCTTAAGTTTATGAATTAAAAACTCGAATATGTGCGTCTATATAATCGTGTAATTAAATACAGAAGATTTAGATGAATATAAATCATTGTTTTTTGGGTTTTTTTTTTCTTTTTTGTAAATCGAGAAGCGTTTCTATCCAAACTTCAGCTCTGAACTGTGAAACACAAACACAATAAAACTAATACATTATTTAATTAAAAATAACCTTTTAAATGCTTTTATGAATAATATATATATTAAGGATATTTTCTTCTGAAGCCAAAATATTTTTTTGATGAAATATGAAATTTTACAAGAATTGTTTTCTTTTCTTCAATTTTAAATACAAAATGTGATAAAGCTGTTAAATATTTCAAAATTAAATTTGAATACATGCCTCCTTGGAAATGCTTTTATTAAAATATTAATTTTTACAGCTCATAAATTTGAAAATCTATTACTATCTGCAAAGCGTTTCTATTTTTACAATAATTTTTTTTAATATAACAAAAAATGAATAAAAAAACGTTTCCTGAAAAACTATGGAGGCACAATTCAGAAATATACTGCGTGCCAAATTATTATCGAGATAATTTTTTTCTATTTCAAAAAACCGTCCAATTAATTCACATAACATTTTCACACAATGTTGGCAACACTGAGCTGCGTAATTACTGAAATTTTCGGACTGATCTGCGCAATGTAAACAAACTGACGTCATATTTGTTATCAGCACGGTGATTTGAGCGTGCTAAATTATTAGAAAGGTTTAGTAAAAATCCCAGAATTGAGCAAACAAAACGTTTATTAATGTTGCACGTGAATGTTTATGATCAAAAGAAGCTAATAAATAAGATAATGAAACAAATAATAACAGATACAAAAAAGGCACAGTTTTAAACAAATTAATAGGGAATGTGCTTTCCCTGTTTTGAAATTACTTGAAGAAGTGGACGATCCATAGAATGTGTTAATTGTAGGATGTCATCTGTTGTAATGCCGTGAGATATGTCAAGAATTGCTTCCCCAACTCAGCGTTGCTCCTGAATTTTCGTCCGTTGACGTACAGTCTTCGCTTCATGATGCTCCAAAGGTTTTCGATTGCGTTCAAATCCAGAGAATTTGCTGGCCATTTCATTTTTGAGGTCCATCGAAGCCTAACTGTTTCAAATATTCAGTAGTCTTGTGAGCAGCGTGTGAGGGAGCATTATCTTGCATAAAAACAATGGCCCTTCTGAAGGCAACTCTTTGCCTTTTCATCCACGGTTCAAGATACTCTTTCATAAACGCTATGTATGCATCAGCAGTCATTTGGACGCCATCTGGTACTCTCCATGGGCCCACTAATGTTTTTCCAATAATAGCACCCCAGATCATTATGCCTCCACCGCCTTGTTGGCGTCTCAAACGCTGATGGCGATTCTGTCCGTTTATTACCCAGCCTATGCACCGTCTATCTGGACCATCAAGTGTTGCTTGAGTTTCGTCTGTGAACAAAACTTTAGAGAAGTCAATCTTTATATTGCCCTCAGCTCATTTCAATCGATTTTGAATGTGATTTCTCGTCAACGGAGGCTTCGATACAGGTTTGACAGTTGTTGCTATTTCCCTCAGAAACCAACACCGAATACTTTTAGACACAGTAGGATCCCCAATACGAATGAAAAGCTCTTGACTGGTAAGTCCAGGGTTCTTCGTGGCCTCTCGTTTAAGTCGTGACATGAGACGACGTGAAATAACCCTCAGCTTGCCTTTATATACCCTTTTGCGTACTTGTGTAGGGTCGGCGGTGAATTTTTCACTGTTTGATGTCACTTTCCTATCATTTTAAAAATTTCTAGGGTAGTGTTGTGAATATGGATTATCTCCTCTTTGATAATCCAAGCTATAAAAGCTGTACATTTTCGCTTGTCAAGTAGACGAGTAGTAAGATTCTTAATTGAATAAAAGATTACTAAACAGAATCTCTTGTCCTGTTTTCATTACAGGTAGATTTACTTTTTAAGAGTTCTGAGGTAATAGTTTTCTTTTCAGCATCACTTAAACTGCTTTTACGGCCCATCTTTTCACTAAATTCTCATACTTTTCTAATAATTTGGCACGCTCAAATCACCGTGTTGATAACAGATATGGCGCAAGTTTGTTTATATTGCGCAGATTAGTACAAAAATCTCGGTGATTGCCCAGTTCAGTGTTGCCAACCTTGTGTGAAAATTTCGTGTGAATTGATTGGACGGTTTTTGAAATATTAGAAAAAAGTTATCTCGATAATGATTTGGCACCCAATGTATGTATGCTTTGAGAATTTTTTCTCTTGATAACGTGGATCCGGCCTCATAAATTCCGTTGAGTTCGTATCAAATTCTCTGACTGACCGACCATCATCATCGCATTTTCAAAATTTTTAATTTTCTTTTTTTTTCACATATTTCACTAAATATATTATTTTCATTTTTTAACTACAGGGTGTCCGTAAAGTTCGTGTGCACTTTAAAAAAATTATAACTTTATTTGTATTTGCGATAAGAATAATCTGTAAAAATTGTTATAAAGTTTAATGTACCTAGTTTTAAGTATAGATAAAATAACTAATGTGATTTCAGGCATTACTGTAAATCAGTTGGCAAATATTTTCCGTGAACTGCAAAATCGTATTACCCTTTGTATTGCTAATGATGGAGGACATGTGGAAACTTAAATAAAATTTCAATAAAACCTTAAAAAAATATAGATTTACTTATTTCTAATCCTTTTTAAAAATTATTTCTATTGCAAATACAAATAAAGTTATAATTTGTTTAACGTGCACACAAAATTTATGGACAACCTGTATAATCAATTTTTTCTTTTGCAGTGAAAGATATATTGCAATTAATTTTTTTTCTTTTTTAGATTCAATTTTAGGGACGGAAACAGATTTAGACATATCCTCATTAAAAAAAGGTACCTAAAAATCAATAAGATATTAGACTTTTAAAAGTAATTTTTTGAATTACTTTATAGTTAGATAAACTGGTTCAATTAAAATTCGAAAATATTGTCACTTCTGTCCTTTTATTCAATAAATTGCGCTGAATTTAGTTGTCGTTACATTGACGTAAACGTCAGTTCACATCTCCAAAGCCATTCATTACGGTTAGACACCCTTCTCTTATTTTCAACTAAATTTTTTCTGCTAAACGGAGAATTTCATTTTTCTTTACAAAACTGTCAAAATACCTCCTAATAATAACATAAATTTTTAGACGATGAAAATACTGTTTATCAAGTTTGGGACCTTTTTCACCAGGGTACGCTCTTTTTTAGCGAAATATTGGTATGTCCATTACTTAGGATGCCACCCTAATGACCTTCCGAACTTATGCAGAATCCTGATGGTTGGTGTGACAGAATGTCTGAACTACCCAGACCGACGTTAAATGCGAGGAATATGTTCTTAATAGAATTAGGTAAGAATAAGTAATTTTTAGCCAGTGTGTTGCGGCAGTGTTGGGCTGTGAGAGGATCGTAGGTCTGCCAGGAAAAATTTTAAGTCCATGAATAAATTTTCGAAAGAATCCTAAAATGCTCTTCCGAATGGAAAATACATTTTCTACAGGGTATGAAATACGCCTTTTGTATATTTAGCACCTCATTGTAAAGATTATTCTTTTGCTTTGATAGAGACGATAAGACCTTATTTTTATAAAATGTTAATTTAAAGCATTAATCTCATGAGTCTGTTACGGATTTGAATCAACCTACAATAAAGAAAAAGGCGAGGAAGTTTTGTTTTTTTTTAAACATAAAAATATAAAATATTTTTATTTTCGTGTTTTTACAACTATTTTTCTCAATGTTTATGTATATTAAAGATTTTATGTCCTTGTTTGTAGCTGTTTGTTAAGATAAAAAAAATGTGAATTCTCCGCGTGAATGTGTGAACAAAAAGAGGCAAGGGAGAATGTGAGGAGGAAAGTGTAAGTGTCACGTAGCTTGGTGAGGAAGAGTGTAAATGTCAAGTAGCTTGGAAATCTCCTTCAAACTGCGCTGACCACCGTGGGCTGATGTCGGATCTATCCGTGTCTATCACCTTACTGGCTTGTTTGGTCCACAAATTTCAAAAGGATTACGAGGCATTTTTTTTTTTAATTGTCGGCGGGAAATCAAGCCATTGTTTTAAAAATGTTTAATATTTACTTTCAAATGATTTGACCGGAAGCATTCGCAGCCATTTGATGATTGACTGTCTTGGAGTTTATCTTCGCCCCAAAAGTCTATTCTCTCTGTATGTAAAGGCACTTAATCCGTATTTTTTTATGATTTCTGCTATTTAACGAGTTGAACTGATTTCAGTTAATATTCTTATCTGCACTGGATTCATGAGACTTTTTACTTTCATGGATACTTTTATTTTAGTGACAATATTTAAAACAGTTGGAAAGATGAAGTGTTTTGGGCGCATTTTGTTTTTCCGAAGTATGAAACTGTTGTAACCAAGAAAAGGTTACTGAATGAAGAATAACCAAAACGGAGGTTGGAAATGAAATGTTAATCTTTATAACATCAACAAAATACAATACTCGCCAGCGGCGTGATATAGGTAAACAACGGCTAGTGGTTGACTACTTAGACAGCATATTATATCTAGTTACCATAGTGTCTAAAGTATTTATGAGGACTGGGACATACCCATTAGTGTTCATAGGTACGGTATATAAGAGAAACCAAAGTAATAAAAAAAATCCCTTACAAGGCAGATGAAATCAGGAAAAATTTTAATACCTCATAGGACGAAAATATCCACATGATTTTCATTTTTCAAGACGATAAAGAAAAATTCGTTCCCTGATGTCTGCAGATACCCAAACTTAAGAAGACGTACGAAATTTTGAAGTTTTGTCATTGATGAAAACGGAAAAATCTATGTATTAAAAAAATTAAAATTAGAAATCGATGTAGAATAAAAATTAAAGGCTTCAGCTTCACAAATAATGTGCCCCTAACATATGCAGAGTATTAAAAGAAAATCTGAAGAACCGATGAGACCTATGCACAGAAAAAAAAGTGATTTTCAAAGCTATCAGCGCTGGTGAGTTTGCCCTGGGATCTTATCAAGTGATATAAAAATAGGAATCTAAATCAACATCGATAAATGGGACAGGCCTTGGAATCGTTTTCATTTGTTGATCTTTATACGTGACCTATTTAAATTAATTTAAGACAGATCGTCTCATCTTACAGAGTTGCTGTGACAATAGTTGATTATGTTCAACAAGTATTTTATTCGATAATGCTTGAACGTAATCTATTCATACACCATCGCGCATATGTAGAGTTCCAATTGAAAAACAAAATCATCACGAAGTAATTGCGTGTCTTGTGTTTTATCAGTTCATATCAAAACGGACTGAATGAATATTCACAAGTTTGGTAAAGGCGAAATAAATTAAATGTAAAACAAATAAGCATATAGCACCCTAAGTGTATTAGTAATTTTACTTTTGCCTGTAAAGTTTGTAACGTTTAAAGCTAATTGCGTCGGCTGGCATCAGTGTCTTAGATATGATAATGATATGGCGTCCGTTTCATAAACGTTTTATCTTTGTCTTTATGAAGTGTTTACGAAGGTGAGATTGACGAAGGCCGATTGATGAAAGAGGAAATAAATCAACAGTGAATGGAAAAATACCTAATAACACACATGTAAAAAGAAAGTTCTAATATTGTGAAAGATTAAAACAAAATATCGATGTCATATAAACTCCGCCATTTTGGAGGTAATGGATAAATAATCTCTTCACACACACACACTTTGTCGTTTTCTTTCTCTCTCTTTTTCTCTCTTTTTCCTCTCTTTTCTCTCTTTATCTTTTTCTTTCTCTCTCCTTTTCTATAACTTATTTGCTCTCTCTTTACTTTTCTCTCTTTCTCGCTTTTTTTTTGTATCTCTCTCATATTCTCCGTTTTTTTACTTCTCTCTTTCTTATTTTCCTCTCTATTTCTCTCTGTGCTAAATTCCTTCAGGACTACAACTTCCTGTGTTTTACTTTGATCAGTAATGAAAAGGAAAATATATAACACACATGTAAAATCGTACTAATGTTGGTAATGGTATAACCCTCTCTATATAGATTTCTCTTTCTTTCTTTCTTTCTTTCTTTCTCTCTCTCTCTTTCTCATTATCTATCCTCATAGTCTTCACTTCGTACCATCTCTTCATTTGTATTTCTTAAACACCTCATTCATCATAAACATTTTAACAGTATGCCTCTATTCTGAGTGCCTCTCGAGTCTTGCATTTCGTGGATTTCCATACAAAAAATACTTGTTCCGATATCAATTTACTAAAAGTTTTTACTTTCTTCTGTCCTCTATAGGCCTTGTGATTGTTATATTCTCCGCGCATTCCTTCCTTATTAAATATCTCAAGAATCCCATGAGTCTCTGATCATTAGCATCAGCTTCTTTTGGATCCTATTCACTTTAAATATACCAGGTACCCTTTACCCTGAATACACTTCGTATTTCGTTTGTCTTGTATTTCGTTAGCACCCCCTATAAACACACACACAAAATAAAAAAATAAAACCTTGCACTGCCATCAATTTAGTAAAACTAATAAGATGGTTTTCTTTTCACTTTCTTCTGCTTCTCAATAGGCCTTGTGAATGTTATATTCTCCACGCATTCTTTCCTTATTATATGTCTCAAATATTCCATGTGCCTCTGATTGTTAGCAGCAGCGTAAGAAATTCGGATTGACCAGAAAAGAAATATATGAAGAAGCAAATATTAATGGCGCTACAATTGTAGACCGTGTCAAAAGTTGATGTTGATGTCAAGATAGATGTAATGTAGGATATTAAGTTCTTGAAAAAGACATTATTCAAGTAAAGAAAACATCGGAGTAGAAATAAAATTTGTCATAAATAACGTTAAAATTTGAAAGATAGAAAAGTTAACAAAACAATAGATGAACTCTTGATATAGATGACAGAAGGCCAAGGAATCCATATTAACAACGCCGGTGCATAATATCCCGAAACTTCCGACCGCAAGCAGGATTGGGTAGTCCGGGCGATGCTTTGTTGCCCTCACAGTCTTATCAACATTTGCTTTTTGCTACCAACATTCATATACTTTATACATTAAACGAAGCACAACTGGCTATTAACGGATGAAAGATTTTCACGTATTTTGACGTCATTCTAGGAACATTTTTTTGTCCAAATCCGTGAATTTGTTTTGCTTTTGATAAGTATCGAAAAAATTAGTTGATGTTGTGTATCTGTTATTCCTAAGCGGTCACCCATCTACATATTTAACAGGATCGACATTGCTTTACTTCGGTGATCGCAAGGGAACAGATGTTTCAATGTGATATATACGTAAGCCGTAAGAATTGAGAATTTACACCAACAATTATGTAGGAAGATGCTGCTGTTTCTCCGTACAAATATTAATGGCGCTACAATTGTAGACCGTGTCAAAAGTTGATGTTGATGTTGATGTCAAGATAGATGTAATGAAGGATAGTAAGTTCTTGAAAAAGACATTATTCAAGGAAAGAAAACATCGGCGTAGAAATAAAACTTGTCGTAAGTAACGTTAAAATCTGAAAGATAGAAAAGTTAACAAAAAACAATAGCTGCAATAGTGACATAGATGACGGAACGTCGAGAAGTTCATATTAATAAGGCGTGTGTATACTAACCGGGGGCGCAAACCTGATTATCGACACCTTGACCAGGAGTGCCAGCCAGATTGGGGATCCCCAAGCGTTTCTTTATGATCTCCGCAGTGTTATCAACATTTGCATTTTTCGGCTTACATTTACGCATAAATCTAAGCACATCTATTAAAGGATGAAAAAAATTGGACCAAATCCCTTATTTTGCTCATGCAATATCTCGAAATAAAACGTTATATAAAATTCACTATTTTTTTATCGATAATGATGAATGTGTTAAATTATTCAACTGAAAATGTTAATGTTAAAAATTCCCGCAAATCATTGTTGACTTATTTAAAATGAAATGATCTATTATAGCGTTTCTTTGATTTATTTAAGATGGAATGATCTATTATGACATGTATTTAATTTGTATTTACATACATTGAATTTATTTTCAATTTATCTAGTTGAATTGCTCGCCTATATTGGATACAATCCATTATCATACATAATTAGGTTACAATAAATCTGTATTTTATATGAATAGTACCTTATGAAAAGTAAGAAGTAGTACAATGTGGGGAGGGCATATAAAAAATCGGTGGGTGTGTCATAGATTGGTGGATGGGGTACGAGACTATTGCACCGGCCCTGTTAAATACAAAAATAATACTTTATTCATGTATATCGAATGCTAATTTAATTAAATATATTTCTCTACTGTTTGTTTTTATAAATGACAATTGTTTGCAGCAAATAGTTCGTTTGCATATGAAACCCTAAAGTGATATATTTATGTATTTTTTAAATAAGGTTTAACCTGTACAAGGCCCAAGATTCACCCGAGGTAGAGGATTGCAGTGTAAGAGGCACAGTTTATCGGGATAAGTTGGCAAAATGACGGTTAATTGTAGACATGAACAGGTTAATGATTAAGGAAGTATCAGTTGAAAGAAGCTACTCGAGTGGAGCTTATATCTCACCAATGGAGTACGAATGGAATGAAGGTGTTTCACTATAATGTGCGTGGCATGGTGAGTCTTAGCCGTGAAGGTAAGAAATGGTGGAACTAAGGCTTGCAGTTGAACTTTGGAGGCGAACAATAAAAAGCAAATATTATAAAATGTTTTTCACTAGTCTTTAATATATTTACAGTACTTATTTTTTTTTTGTTCCGTATCGCTTTCTATTAAAAAATATTTGTAATTATTATTATCATTATTATTATATAAGATAGATAAATAAAAACTAATAGAGAATGTATATTACGAAATATTCGTATATAAATAATCAAATACAAATATATATCAAAAATATTTTCTATAATCAATACAATCAATTTAAAAACTGTTGTTTCAAAGTAATTGTCAATAGAATTTACAAAATTTAAGAATTATTTTAGAAAAGCGGAAATGGCATTTTTCAAATATATTTTTGGTACCAATGCGAAGATCACTATTGCTATAAAACAATGTCATGGTAAATATTCTTTGGATCGCATCAGTGAAAACAAGAGAGCAACGGCCAGATTGTAAATAAGTTTAAGTATCAAGTAAATAGATTTTAAACTTGTGATAAATGATTTAAAAGGGAAATTAGTTCTTTTGACGTAAGTTTTACGTAAGTAAAAAGTTGGATGATTTTAAGGATGTATAATATAGTATAAAGGATGATTTATCTGGAATATTTTCAAATGATTAAATTTTAAAGATGCACGATAAAAAGCGACAATTGTAAATTGTTTGTGACTAGATTTTAATACATTTACAATCCATACAGATACAAAACTTGATTTGTTCCTTCTTTGTTTTCTAGTAAAAAGCTTTTATTATTATTATTATAAGATAGACAAAAAAACTAATACAGAGAAAGTATATTGCGAAATAGTTCTACATATAAAATCAAATAGAAAAATCTAAAATTCGTTGTTTTCACATAAGCTTCCGTTGGATGATTTTACGGATGAATAATAGGAAGTAGGATTTATCTGGATTTTCTCAAGTTACTGAATTTTAGAGACTAGTGATAATAAGCGACAAATAGTTTGTCATTACACTTTAATATATTTACAATCGTTATTGATACAAAACTTTATTAGTTCTGCTTTTGCTTTCTGTTAAAAGAAATTAATCATCATTATTATTATTATAGTTATTATTATTATTTTTAGTAGCAGTAGTAGTAGAATTAATGGTAGTCGTACTAAAACAATTGATGATATAAATGGCAGTAGAAAAAGTTGATAAATCTGACTTTAGACAATCAAAGATAGAAAGCAAATGTAAAACAAACGATTTTTAAGATAGACCAAAACAACTAACAGAAAAATATATATTACGAAATACTTGTATACAAATAATCAAATACAAGTATCTAAATGTTTTTTGTTTTTTTGAAAAAGGTTGCAGATAGAAAAAATATAAAAATAAATCGGTATTTATGCCTAAAATACTCGGAGTTCATGAAATCATTAAATTATAACATACAATAAAATAATTTATACTAACTTTTTTGACCGTATTAACACCTAAACTATCAACGGATAAAAAATGAACAAGAGTAGAAAATGTAAACTTGATAACTATCGCATTAAGTAATTTAAGAAAGTAAAAATACGTCAAACAATTATCAGACTAGTTGTACAAAAACAAATAAATACTAATTAATCCATAAAATCCGGAAAATTAGAGAAAATTTTGAAATAAATAATAACAAATAATGCATATATAACTTCAAATATTAATAATATATAATAAATGAAATAAAAGAAATAAAATCAAATTATATTAAATTATTTATTTTAAACAATGTTTACGTTTTTAACAGTTCATTATTTTTTTTTTTTTAGTTAAGCATTATTATTAGTCGGAGTTATAGTAGAATTAGTGGTAGTAGTAATTCATTTTTTATAGCTATCTAGTTATTTCATATATTTATAACTATACACTTGCTAAACACCTCTACGTCACACAAATCACGAATAAACGCGTTTAACCGCAAAACCATTGTCCCGTGATAACAAGAAAAACGAGGACAAGTGTCCGAATATAAATAGTATAAATAATGTGAACGACAACTTGACATTGTTGACCATTTAGTCTCTAATTGTCAAAATCTGACACTGAAATACAGATACTGATCCGATAGTAATGGCAGAATATTAATTATTTGAACTATTGACGATAGATAGATAGATAGATAGATAGATAGTATCATATGCAAATTAGATATACAAGTATAAATAGAGAATAACTGGCGAGCATAAGGGCTAAGCAAACCCGTTTACTAAACGTAACGCGGGAAACTGTGCTTCGACTGCTACTACACTGAGAGATATACCTAGGGCGTCGCCGATAAGATCTTTAACTTTGCTGGACGACCGAGAACACATAGAAACATAGATAAGAACTTTTGCAAGAGTGAAAAAATTAAGAGACACAAAGACCGACGGAGGAGAAAACGAGATAACGGATTTCTTTCTTGCTACCGCTGGGTGCGAAACTATGAAGAAAATTTCGA